ATATTTTTGCCTTTTGGCTTGTAACTTTTGAATCATTCATTTAGTATGAGTGATGTCTTCGGAAAACCTATGTAAAATTAAACAATCTACAATATTGTCTAACATTATAATGCCCTACAGCAACTTGGTATACTCTAAAAACGCTTCTAGATGTACAACTTTGCTTCCGCCTTTATTATAAAGAACTCGCATAGCACAAACGGCGGAAGCAAAGTTGTATATGTAATAGTGAACGCAAATAATTTCGGTTTTGTTTCGTCGCTTGTAACTTCCAAACCATTCGTTTAATATGAATGATGTATTTGATAAATTTGTACAGAATTAAATTATAAACAATATTTTCTAACATCATTTTATTCTACAGCAACTCGGTATGCTTCAAAATCTAAATTAAAAACACAAAATTATGATATTGTTTGATTAATATCTTTAACAAGTTTACTTTGCTCGTCAGTAGAGTCCTTTTTGTGTTCAAGTTCGAGTTTATCAAACAAATTTTAATACTTCCTACTAAATTTTATGAAATTTTATTTAATTGTATAATTTTGCAATATTGCATTACGATTTTAGGAAAAAACCAAAACAAATCAAAATTCCAATGTATATATTAACTTCCCGTAGGGTAAGTTATTGTAATGGGCCGAAAATCGGAATTGAAATTTTTTACATTTCTCGACGTTTTGAAGGTTTCTGAACGTTTTGGCATACCTCAGAAAAAATGGATGTGTGTGTGTGTGTGTGTGTGTGTGTATGTATGTATGGATACAAATTTTCGTCCACGTTTTCGGGCGTACGGATCAACCGATTTGAATGGTTTAAAAAACATTCGATTCCTATTAATAAGGAGAAGAGCTGATTAGTTTTTGGCAAAGCCAGGTCCAGCAGTTACGGAGATAAGGAGCAAAGAGTGCAGAAAATAGAAATCGAGTTTTGGAGAGAACGGAGCATCCGATTTGAATGATCTAAAAAACATTCCATTAGTAATGATTGGGAGAAAGGGTTATTAGTTTTTCGCAAAGGCAGGCCCAGCCATTTCGGAGATACAGAGCTAAATGTACAAAAAATGGCAGTTTTTGAGAGAACTAAGCGTCCGATTCAATTGATTCAAAGAACTTTCTGCTTGTCTTAACAAAATAATTGATTTTGGAAAAAAAAAATTTGTACCATTTTTTTTTTTTTTTTTTTTTTTTTTTTTTTTTTTTTTAAATTTTTTGTATATCGAAAATAATTCAGATTTTATTTTTAATTCTGACTATAGTTCTAATATACTTTAAACAAATAATTTCAACTCTGCAATTCAGTTTATATAATTATTATAAATATTAGACAAAAATACAATATTTATAATAATCTATTTGAAAACATTCAATATTCCTCGAACGTTTCGTTACGGTACGGGAAGTTCCAGCAATTTGCCTTAAGGCACGATGCCACCCACCCCACTAGTTGGTTATATATTTGTTTCAAGACGGGACATGTTTATTTATGCTTTTATGGTGCATTTTATTTCATAAACATAAAATCAAATCCGGGGACATTTTATGTGGTACAGAATTTCGATTTAAAAATCTTAAAAACCATTGATCCAGCAAGATATTTGTAAAAGAAGGAATAAACATTTTTTTTAAATTATAGTCAATTAAAATTGCAATATTTTCGTTTAAATAGCTTCTTTACGTATATTAGGCATTCAGCAGTAAGGAAGTTTATGAATTGTTAAAATTTAACAAAATTTAGGAAGCGTTGTTCAAATAGGTCATAAGAAGGTACAAAATTTTGGTCTTGGCTTAAAATTTCGAAAGTTATTAATTTTAAATTAATATAAAATTTATATCAAAAAACTAGTTTTAATTTTGTTCCGTGTTATTGTCGACCGAATAATTCGATTCGATCGTAAAATTTACCGATTTCAATAAATAAATAAATAAATAAATTTGTATGATCGAGATTATTATTATAATTCCGCTATATGAAGAGTTTCATGCGATTGGCCAGAAGTCTGTGAACGAGTTTATCGATGATATACATTTATAAATAATTATAATACAGAGCCGAATTCGGTAGTAAAGTATTTAAAAAAAAAATCTGTTGGAATCATATTAGATTTCGGTAGCATACAATTTTCTAGTTTGACATTCCAAGTACTACTTCTTGTTTTATTCTAGTATGAATTTTTGTGTTATTCTAATGTTTGCTCAACAAAAATTTTAAATAATACTATATGTTCTTAATGAAGTACTCCAAGTACTTGTTTTACTGTATTTTTTCATAATTTTACTAAATTTTTGAAATTATACTAATCGTAAATACCAGCAAATAAGATTTCTATGTAATATTCCAAGCACTAATGTAATATATGGAAAAATTGGAGCTTTAAACATTTTTTTATTATATTTTTAAAGTGAGGACTTGGAATGTTTGATGAAAACTTACACTTAGCTTGAAAAAATAAAATCATATATTTATAATTTTATAAAAATTTTATAATTTATTAGTGTAAAATTTCAATTATATATTACTATTACCGCATTCCAAGTACTTGCATAAATGCTAATGCAATATTTAAGTTTCACAATTCTAAAAAATAATTATTTCAAGATTCCAATAAGCCATTTCAAGCACTCATCTAAAATTTTTATAATACATTCCAAGTACTAATGTAAAATTTTGGTTATATATTTCTATTACCACATTCCAAGTACTTGTGCAAATGCTAATGTAAAATTTCATTGCGCCAGTAATTTTAGAATTTTATAGAAATATTATTTTAAATTCCAAGTACTAATATAAATTTTTAATGCGTATTTGCAAGTACTTGTTATTATTGAATACAATTTCAATGATAATTTTAAGAACTAGCTTATATATTGGATTGGATTTCATGTATCCATTTTATTCCAAGTACTAGTATCTTTAATATTCTAAATAAATTAATTTTATTTTTTTTAAATAGTTATTTTTAAAACCCCAATTGTTATTCAAAACATCTGTAGAGTTATCTGAAAATTTCATTGAGACATTCCAAGTACTAATGTAAAAACAAAATGAGACATATCAAGCACTTGGGCAAGTACTAAAATAAAATTCCATTGAAACTTTTTTAGTAATCGTAAAAATGTAAAGATTACATAGGAATCCAGATATGACACGTTCCAAGTATTAGTGTGAGATTTTATAGGACATTCCAAGTATTAGTATTCAAAAATTCTCTTATAACTATTTGTAAGGCTCGAATTAATTTTTAGCATTTGTCGAATTATTATTTTAAGATTACATTGACACATTCCAAGTACTTATGCAAAAATACAATGAGACATACCAAGCACTTGGGCAAGTACTAATATAAAATTCCATTGAAACATTTTTAGTAATCTTGAAAATGTAAAGATTAAATAAGATTGCAATATGACATGTTCCAAGTATTAGTGTAAGATTTTATTAGACATTCCAAGTACTAGTATTATAAAACTCTTTCATAATTATTTGTAAAGCTCGAATTATTCTTTAGCATATCTGCCGAATTATTATTTTAAGATTCCATTGACACATTCCAAGTACTTATGCAAAAATACAATGAGACATTCCAAGCACTTGGGCAAGTACTAATATAAAATTCCATTGAAATATTTTTAGTAATCGGGAAAATGTAAAGATTACATAAGATTCCTGATATGATATGTTCCAAGTATTAGTGTAAGATTTTATTAGACATTCCAAGTACTAGTATTATAAAACTCTTTCATAATTATTTGTAAAGCTCGAATTATTCTTTAGCATATCTGCCGAATTATTATTTTAAGATTCCATTGACACATTCCAAGTACTTATGCAAAAATACAATGAGACATTCCAAGCACTTGGGCAAGTACTAAAATAAAACTCCATTGAAACATTTTTAGTAATCGGGAAAATGTAAAGATTACATAAGATTCCACGTGTGACATGTTCCAAATATTAGTGTAAAATTTTATTAGACATTCCAAGTACTAGTATTCACAATCATTTTTATAATTATTTGTAAGGCTTGAATTAATCTTTAGCATATTTGTCGAATTATTATTGTGAGATTTCATTAAGAGATTCCAAGTACTTATGTAAAATTTCAATGAGACATTCCAAGCACTTGGGCAAGTACTAATATAAAATTCCATTGAAATATTTTTAGTAATCTTGAAAATGTAAAGATTAAATAAGATTGCAATATGACATGTTCCAAGTATTAGTGTAAAATTTTATAGGACATTCCAAGTACTAGTATTCAAAAATTTTCTTATAATTATTTGTATAGCTCGAATTATTCTTTAGCATATCTGCCGAATTATTATTTTAAGATTCCATTGACACATTCCAAGTACTTATGTCAAAATACAATGAGACATTCCAAGCACTTGTGTGCTAAAGTACTAACTTAAAATTCCATTGAAACATTTCTAGTAATTGTAAAAATGTAAAGATTACATAAGATTCCACGTGTGACATGTTCCAAATATTAGTGTAAAATTTTATAGGACATTCCAAGTACTAGTATTATAAAACACTTTTATAATTATTTGTAAAACTTGAATTAATCTTTAGCATTTGCCGAATTATTATTTTAAGATTCCATTGAGACATTCTAAGAACTTATGTAAATATTCAATGAAACATTCCAAGTACTTGTGCAAATAAAGTAGAATTATATTAAAACATTCTTAGTATAAAATTCCAATGCTTGGAATTTTAAATAAGATTTTTAGTATGAGGCGTTATAAGGGTTAGTGTAAGATTCCATCGGACATTCCAAGTAGTAGGTAGTATCTTCAGAATTCTAGCAAATTATTTTATTCAATTATTATTCCAATTTATTATAAGTATACCAGTTTTTGGGACTTTAAAGATTTCAAGTACTAGTATCTACAAAATTGTAAATATTTTTTTTAATGTTCCAATTAATTTTTAAAACATCTACAAATTTTTTATTTTAATTCCAAAATTACGTGCATTCCAAGTACTAATGAACGATGTCATCGAGAGATTCCAAGTACTTATGTATATACTACTACAATATTTTAATATAATTATACTAGTCTTTGGGACTTTAAAGAATCCAAGCACCTAGTATCTACAAAATTTTAAATATTTTTTCCAATGTTTTAATGAGACATTCCAAGTACTAAATAATTTACAGTGTTATATATTTTCATAATCCCTCTAGTGTAAAAATCGAATTAGACATTCCAAGTACTTGTGTAAATTTATTGAAGCAATCCAAGTACCAATGTAAAATTCCAAAGAGACATTCCAAGTACTAAATAATTTACAGTGTTATATATTTTTGTAATTTCTCTAGCAAAGTGCAAAACTCTAATTAGACATTCCAAGTACTCCTGTAAATTCGTTGAAGTATTCCAAGTACCAGTGTAAAATTTTAAAGAGGCATTCCAAGTACTTTATAATTTACAGTGTTATATATTTTCACAATTCTACTAGCAAGGTGTAAAAATTAAATTAGGCATTCTAAGTACTTGTGTAAATTTATTGAAGCATTTCAAGTACTAATGTAAAATTCCACTAATGCATTCCAAGTACTTGCTTGAAAATAATTTGCCGTGTTATATATTTTCATAATTCCTCTAGCAAGGTGTAAAAATCCAATTAGGCATTCCAAGTACTCGTGTAAATTCGTTAAAGAATTCCAAGTACTAGTGTAAAATTCTAATAAGACATTCCAAGTACTTGCATGAAAATAATTTACAGTGTTATATATTTTCATAATCCCTCTAGCAAGGTGTGAAAATCTAATTAGACATTCCAAGTACTCGTGTAAATTCGTTGAAGAACTTCAAGTACTAGCGTAAAACTCTAATTAGGCATTCCAAGTACTTCTGAAAATGTGAGTTTTTATATACAAATTATAATACATTTTTTAGAAAATTGTGTTTTTGAGATTCTTGAAATGAAGCATTCCAAGCACTTGCGGTGAATGAATTTGTTTATTTTTAGTAATAATAAGACATTCGTAGTAAAATTTAATACAAGTACTTCTGTAAATTCATTGCAGCGTTCTAAGTATTAGTGTAAAATTCTAATTAGACATTTCAAGTACTTGTGCAAATTAATTAAAACATTCCAAGTACTAGTGTAAAACTCTAATTAGGCATTCCAAGTACTTGAGTTAATGTGAGTTTTTTATATACAAATTATAATGAATTTTTAAGAGAATTAAGTTTTTGAGATTCCAATGAAGCATTCCAAGCACTTGCGGTGTTTGTCTATTGAAAATGAACTAGTAGTGAATAAATTTGTTTATTTTTGGTAATAATAAGACATTTGTAGTAAAATTTAATGAAAGCACTTTATCCACGAGAAAGCAACCCAAAGGTCGACCATTTAGTTTTATATAAGTTGCAGCAATGCCCTCGAAATTTGATTTTCACTATATTCGAAGTCTATAACCTCAAGTGAAAATTTGATATCATGCTGCCTGATATCGAGCATGGTCGGAACTAGTTTGTGTAGGCCCAAGTTCTAAAATAATTTAAATTAAATAAATATTTCCTAATTCGGCCCTGTATTCCGAAACTGCTTCCGTCCGATAGTCGATGGTCGTTGGTGTTTTGTAACACTTCTTGTTGTATGATATGTGGTAGTGGTCTCAGTAAACAATTCGACGTCGACTGAAGAACACTAGTAAATCTAATAATAAAATAATAATTTAACTATTAACTGAACTTCCTGTGATAATAATATAATGTGAAAATTAAAGTTTTAGTTCAAATTTTACAGTTTGTGCCAAATCTGCTGAGTTTCTAGTGAGATTCTTATAAGATTCGTACGAGATTCACACGAGATTTGTATGAGATTTGTGTGTTATGTGACATTGTGAAATTAATTGGACGATATATAATAATATAGTGGTGATTATTTTAGTATTTTGATAAGATTTTATCTAAGTGCTCCTAAAAGTTTGTGACCTTTTTATTAAGATTCTTAGCAGAATTATATTAAATAACTAGGCGAAAACTTATTGCTTAAATAAAATCTAGCGTTTATTAATAATCAAATAATTGAACCAAATATTTATTAACTTATTAAATATTTAATAAGTTACTTATTTTAAATTCAAAAAACGGCTAAAAATTCCACAGATTAGAATTTTGCAAGTAGTATAGATATGGTATAATTTTATACCGCCATTAGAATTTTTCAGATCTAATTTAATTAATAAATGTAAATATAATGCCGTTGATACAATTTTTTTACCCTTTGCAGACTTAAACATTAAAATAAAAAGTTATTTTATCTGAAGAATTTTAATCAGATTTAACAACTTTTAATTCATTACCGTTTGCAAAATTATTAAAATATTTTCTACCGATATATTATTATATTCTTATTTTTACAAGTTGTTATTTTAATGCCAATCATGGAATTCTAATTAGATTAAATACCGTTTGCGGAATTATATTAATACCGATTCTAAACAATTTTATAAATTTCGGAATTATTAGAATTCTAAGAATTATATTATTTTTTTTTAATTGCATTATTCTAATAGGCGTATACCGTTTACAGAATTGAAATAATATTTTATTATCGTTTGCAGAATTCTAATAAGATTTTATACTCTTTTCTACTTTAAAGAATTCTGAAAAAAAATTAATTTGATTTAATACAATTTGCACAAATATAATAATAATGTTTAAAGGTGTATATATTATTATATATCATTAGATAGTTATTAAATTTGTCTATAAAACTGTATATAACGTTTTTCAAACAAAATTCAATACGAATAATGAGTAAAATTTAGTATCTACATCTACATAATTATTATAAAATATAATAAGCAAATACCGTTTGCAGAACTGTAATAAGCTTCTACCATTTGCAACTTCAATGATTTTTTATAAAATTTAATACCATTTCCAAAATTATAATAATATTATTTTATTACCATATCATTTGCAGAAATTCAATAAGCTTATACCTTCTGATTAATTTTAATAAGTTTTGTCAGTAAAGTCCTTTCTTAATTCTCCAGATGACTTTTTAATTTTGGTCGTCAGTAGAGTCTTTTTTTCATTTTCTAGAAGATAGAAAAGATTTTTATTTTGGTCGTCAGTAGAGTCCTTTCCAGATGAAATTTTTATTTTGCTTTCTTTCTTAATTTTTAAGTGTCCTTTCTTGAGACGGCATTTATAATTTACTTGGCAGTAGAGTCCTTTCTTAATTTTCCAGATGACTTTTTCATTAGAAAATAATTAAATATTTAATTTTCAGAATTCCAATAAGAATCTTATGTGATTTGCCAAAATTTTCAGTTCTAGTGATGTGCAAAAGTGTGTTGTGATGTGCAGACTATTTTTAATTAATTTTATCAAATAAAATAGTGTTGTGAATAAAATAGTGTAAGATGCTGCTAAATTTTAATAGCTTGGTGCTGTTATCAGGTAATTTTAATATTATTTTATATTTTATTTATTATATTTAAGATAAGATTGTTGACTGACAGACTTGCTAGTAAGTTATTATGATGACTTTGCAATTTTTTATTTTAATTTTGTACTAAATGGGATTCACAGATTTATAAATATGAAAAAAAAAACAAACAGGTTAATGAATTTAAATGGACTGTTTTTTTTTTAATTGGTGACGTTGCATAACTATATATATATATAAAATATATATATATATATAATATATATATATATATATATATATATATATATATAATCGAATCGGACGCTTCGTTATCTCAAAAACTGTAATACTATTTTTGGCATTTTTTACTCCGTATCTCCAGAATGGCTGGACCTGCCTTCGCCAAAAACTAACCAGCACGTCACTTTAGCAATAAGAATCGAATGTCTTTTGAATTATTCAATTCGGTTGATCCGTGTTCGCAAAATCTTCGACGAAAATTTTTATCCGCACACACACACACGGGTATGCCAAAATGTTCAGAAACCTCTGAAACGTGAATACATATAAACAATTTCATTTTTGTTTTTTTTTGCGATTGCAATAACTTGTCCTAAGGAAAGTTAAAAATAATAGAATATTTTTCCGGAAAATCTAGTTGTAATTTCTTTGTCAGTATAGTTTATTTTTACTAAATATTATAACATTTACTATTTTGCTTGTCAGTAGAATACCTTTTCTTCTAGTAAGTTATTTACACTTATCAATAGTTCTTTTTTAGACAGACACATTGATTATTTTCAGTGAAATTTTACTAATTTTATTAAAAAAGTGAATCTCAACTTTTGACGGTTTGCTCGGCAGTAGAGTCCTTTATTATTTCTCATTTAATTTTGATAAAATATCACCAATTTGAGAAACAAATCGCTTGACTGTAGAGTTCTCTTTTTAAAAAATATGGAGGTAAAAATTGAAAAAAAAAACTTGGAAAAAACAATTGTTGCAAGATTTAGATTTGACTCGAAAAAGGACTCTACTTTTGACCAAACTGTAAAAAATTGATCCAAAAAATTCAAACTAGAGCAATTTTGATTTTCAGAAATGATTTAATACCATTTTGTTTATAATTATTACAAAAGCAGAAAATAAAGGAACTGACAAGCAAACGAAATCACAATTTTAAGAAGTTGTAATAGTATTAGTAACGAGTAGTATTGTGACTGTTTTTTAATTGATAATTATGATATATATACATACATATATATATATATATATATTTAATATATATATATATATATATATATATATATATTAAATTTTTTATATACTTTTGATGTTGAAATATCAATTCAGGGCAATACATCAATTAAAAAATTTGTATGACTTTAAAACATTTTTATTTTTTCCATACGTTTCGACACATAGTTTTGTGTCATCTTCAGTGAACTCTATTTTGAAGGCACAGATAAAAATTATTAATTAAAACTAATATATAAGAAGTGATATGGTATGAACTTACATGTGATTGTAATAATCCTAATTATTTCTTAATTAGGAAATAATTAGGATTATTACAATTACATAGTCCACTGAAAATGACACAAAACTATGCGTCGAAACGTATGAAAAAATAAAAATGTTTTAAAGTCATACAAATTTTTTAATTGATGTATTGCCCTGAAAACTGAATATCATATATATAGATATATATATATATATATATATATATATATATATATATACATGTATATATCGTGTTATTAATTATTCATTAACATTTTACAATAATTATTATTCAAATGAGCAAATGAATACGAATCCATAAACAATGGAGTCGCCGCCGGGAATTCCGAAACGATTTATATACATATTAATTATACATACATTTATATATATATATATATATATATATATACATGTATATATATATATATTTACATGTGTATATTTATAATTAATGAGTATATATAAATAAATAGTACACAGTAACCTCTCTTGGTAGTAAAGGTCAGGGTTTCTCAAAGATAAACTCGATAATGCGATTAATATAAACAATATATATGTAATATGTTTCTTGTATTCTAAAATAAGATTTAACTCTTATCAAACAAAAGTTTATGTTTTTGCCAGAAAATCCGATTTGCTAATTCTATGTGTCAAGTCATTCTGAATCGCATGAGACAAAATTCAGAAAGAATATGTGTTTATTAGATTGACTTTGCAACAAAAAAAGTTTTCTAAATAACGAACTTTAGGGGCCAATTCTGCGGTAAAATGACCGATAACATAACATTTTTAATAATTTTCTTAAAATAACTTACTATAAATAAGTTTGCAGTAAATAAATTAAATAATAAATAAATAAAAAATAAAATAGTTAATAGTTAATTTAGTGCATTTATAACATACGGTTTTAATGTTAAATACGCCTAATCGCACGACAAATAGGCATTTTCACAGTTTTCACTACCAATAAACAAGCATAAGATGCCATGACGACGCTATGTTATCGACTACATTGGCCTCTCAATTTGCACGTTAGTAGAGTTTTATTTCAAAAACAGATTTTAATCATTTTTACGTAGAATTATTATTGATTTTTTGATTATCATGTCAGTAGAATTTCTTTTTCCCTTGTATAATTTAGATCTTTAATCGTCAGTAGAGTCCTTTTCTATAAATTATTTATAATTTCATCATAAAAGTCGAAATTCGGTTTGCTCGTCAGTGGAGTTCACTTTCTACTATATACAAAATTTTAAACTTATTACTGAGTAAAATTATAAATTATAACTTACTAAAAAGGACTCTACTGACGAGCAAAAATCGAAACTTGATTTTTAGTAACAATTTATTTGAAATTGTAAAGTCAAAAAAGGACTCTACTGACGAACAAATCAAATCTTGATTTTAAGAACAACATTAGTAACAGTTTATTTGAAATTATAAATTACAAAAAAGGACTCTACTGACGAGCAAATCGAAAATCGATTTTTTGGTACAGTATTAGAAACATTTTGTTTAAAATTGTAAAATACAAAAAAGGGACTCTACTAACGAGCAAATAAATTCTCAATTTTTAGAACAGTATTAGCAACATTTTACTTGAAATTGTAAAAACAAATTAGTAATATTTTATTTACATGTATAAATTATTAAAAGGACTCTACTGACGAGCAAATAGAATCCCAAATTTTAGTAATATTTTATTTAGAATTGTAAAAACCAAAAAGGACTCTACTTTCTAAAAGGAGCAAATTATAAAAGACAAAACAAAACAAAAATCTAAAAATAAAAAGGACTCTACTGACAAGCAAATTAAATTTGGTAATTCAGCATAATGAAATTAGCAAAATTCTACATAAGTCAATAGAGTTTAAATAAGGACTCTACTGACAAACAACATTTTAGACGTAAATATAGTACTACTAATCTATATTGAGAAAAATCGAAAAGAACTCTATTGACGAGTAAATCGAAACTTGTTGAAGAAATTAGTTGATGATATTTTATCGGAACTTATAAATTACAAAAAATGACTCTATTGACGATCAAATCGATTCTCGAAATTTGTTACAAAATAAAAAAAAACACCTGAAACTACTACGAAGAAGGGACTCTACTGACGAGCAAATTAAATCTCAACATTTGCTTCTAACAGCAAAAAACGAATTTGGACTCTTGAATAGAATGAAATTAGTATTTCGAATAAATTTTGAAACATTTTACTTAGAAAGGATTCTACTGACGAGCAAACTGTAAGAAAAAGAACAAGGAAAGAAATGAAAATACAAAAAGGGACTCTACTGACAAGCAAACTTGCAATTTTTCAAATAGAATACAGACCAGTTATTAAAAAATGGACTCTACTGATGATTTAAATACTGATGATGTTGATAGAAAATTAACACTACTAACACGCAAATCGATTTCGATTTTCATTTTAGGAACTCTACTGACGAGGAATTGAGAAATAAATTTAAAATAAAATTATAAATTACCAAAAAGGACTCTACTAACGAGCAAACTGTAATAGACAAAAACATCTAAAGATAAATAATAATAAAAAAGAAAGAAATAAAAAAAACAAAAAGGACTTTACTGACGAGCAAGCTATAAAATACAAAACAAAACAAAAATCTGAAAATAGAAAAAATGATAAAAGAAGAAAGAAACTAAAAAATTCTACTGACGAGCAAACTGTAAAAGACAAAACAAAATAATCTAAAGATAAAAAATAATAAGAGAAGAAAGAAATAAAAAAAATGAAAAGGACTCTACTAAAAAGACATAATAAAAAAAATTGAAGATAAACAATAATAAAAGAAATAATAAATTGAAAATGACTCTACTGACGAGCAAACTGTAGAATAAAAAAAAACAAGGAGATCAAAAAAAAAAAAAGACGAGCAAATGGAATCTCAATTTTTGGAACAATATTTGTAATATATAATTTAAAATTATGAGGACCAAAAAGGACTACTGACGAGCAAACTGTAAAATGAAGAAAATCTTTTTAATATAGAAAAACAGAAAGGGATTCTACTGACGAGCAAACTGTAAAAAAACAAAACAAAACAAAAATATAAAAATAGAAAGAAAAGAAATCAAAAAGCAAAAAGGCCTCTACTGACAAACAAACTGTAAAAAAAACAAGAAAATCAAAAAACAAAAAGGGCTCTACTGACGAGCAAATCGAATCTCGATCTTTGTGACAATATTAGTAATATTTTATTTGAAATTATAAAGATCAAATAGGACTCTACTGACGAGCAAACCTTAAAAAACAAAACGGAACAAAAATCTAAAGATAGAAAAGTAACAAAAAAAAAGAAATGTGTAAAGACTCTACTTAAGAACAATCTGTAAAAGAAGAAACAAGGAAGGAAATCAAAAAGCAAAAAGAACTCTACTGACGAGCAAACTGTAAAAGAAGGAACATGGAAAAAAATAAAAAATGAAAAGGACTCTACTGACGAGCAAACTTTTAAAAAAGCAAGGAAATAAATAAAAAACGAAAAGAACTCTACTGACAAGCAAACTGTAAAAAAAAAACAAGGAAAGAACTGTAAAGACAAGAAGGGACTCTACTGACGAGCAAACTGTAAGAAAAAAAAACAAGGAAAGAAATGTAAAGACAAAAGGGACTCTACTGACGAGCAAATTTGCAATTTTTCAAATAAAATAATAATAGAACATTCTAAGTAATAAAAAAAGACTCTACTGACAAACAAACCGTATACTACAAAAACAATTCCATAACTTTCAATATTCAACCCTTTCCACTCCGATGCCTCTGATCTCAGAATTTGCGAGTGGAAAGGGTTAATACATTACATCATATCAAAATTACTAATTCCAATTTCTTTTCTCCTTCAGCCCTTTTAGTAAACCTTCAAACCACCATCCATTCCCAAGCCCCTCCGCCCCAGGGCGTCATTCCCCTGCAGCCCCAAAACGGAGCCCCTCCGCCGGCCGCCAATTGGGAACAGGTGACGAATTGGAACCCACGGATACCGCAAAGGGTGCCCCAAAGTGCCCCTCCTTGCCACCAGGGCCGGCTTTCGGAAAACGAGTGGCTTCTGCGAATAAACCGCCATGTGCCCCTTACAAGGACGAGAATCCTGCTAAGAACTCTTTGGCGGACGTCAGCAGGGCTGTTGAAAGGTTTTCGTTGGATTTGTTTGATGTAAGTAGAAAAATGAATTATTGGTTATTTTTATTATTAAATGGATGAATGAATGGTGTTTTGGAGCAACTCGGTGTACTTTAAAGTACTGTACGGGTTTGTAGTGTTTGTAAGTATGATATTTGTATAGTGCTCGTCGAGACCTTTCATTTGATACCCCACATGCCATATGTGACGTCACAACGTATTGACCTATTGTACTGTTCATAGTCCGGCAACCCATTGGTCTACTTTTGTTACATCTCTTGTAACTTTTGAATCGTTCGTCTGAGGTAAATGGAATATTTGGTGAATATGTTCTAAATTAAATTATCAATAATATTTTTGTTATAGAAACCTTACAACAAATTGATATGCTTTAAAATAGCAAAAATTTATTATAAAAAATAGTATATAACGTGTACTTGGATACCAATGGTTATAAATATGATATTTAGATAGTTCTCGTTTTAGACATTTTATTTGATACCCCACATGACATATTTAACATCACAACATCTTTACCCGCTGTACTATTTATAGTTTGGCAACCCATTGGTCCACTTTTTATTATATATTTTTTATTTTTAACTATATTTATTTTATTTATATTTATATTAAGAATGTTTAAAAAAGGACTCTACTGACGAGCGAAATTAAATTTGAGCCAGTTATGTAACAGCAAATGTTTTTTATCTAAACATGAAATGACTCTACTGACGAGCTAATATGACAAAAAGTGTTAAAACCGAAAAGATTATAATGTAAATTTGGATTTGACTAAAATATTAATGTTACAAAATAAAGGACTCTACTGAAAAGCAAATTGAACCTATCTAAATTGTTCACAAAAAGGACTCTTCTAACTATAATAGGACTAGATTAAAATATGCATTGAAAAAAGACACTACCGACGAACTAGTTTAGCAAAATAGAAGAACTCTACTGACGACCAATATTTGAAAACAATTATATCATCAGGAAAAGCGACTCTACTGATGAGCAGAGTAAACTCAGAAAGAAGGTGAATGAAATGTTGTATAGAAAAAGGACTCCACTTATGCAAAAGATAGTCAACAAAAAACTTCAAATTAAATTGACACTCAAACTTAAGGCAAAGAATTTCAGAAAAAAGGACTCTACTGATGAGCAAATTAAACTTGACGAAACATATTAAAAACGCTCAGGAAAAAAGATTCTAATAATTTCAGAGAAACCCTATTGCTTGTTTGACCCATCATTATGCTATTTTTATAGTGCTTGTTGAGACCTTTCATTCGATACCCAATATAGCTATATTTGAAGTAAAACTATTTAACTCATATACAAACACGAGTTCGGCAACCCATTGGTTTACTTTTATTAAATCTTTTGTAACTTTTGAACCGTTTGTCTAAAATACATAGAATATTCAAATTTGTGTTAAATTGAATTATCTACAATATATACTATTACACTATACTCTACAGCTACTTGGTGTACTTAAAAATGACAATATAAATTGTAAAAATTATTTGTACGGAACCCTGATGGTCTTTTGAGATTGTGAATATGATACTCGGATAGTGCTCGTCGAGACCTTTCATTTGATACCCAACATGCCTATATTTGAAGTAAAACTTCATAACTCGCATTTGACCCAATGTACTGTATTTATAGAGTATGATGACTTATTTATGTGCATTTACTTTGAAAAACTTTTATAAATTGATTATATAATATAAATAAAATATTTTAATATTAGTAAATATAAATAAGACTAAGTTTATCCATACTATAAATAGTACAGTGGGTCGAAATAATCAAAATAAATATAAAAAAATAATAATATAATAAAAATAAATTAAACAATTATTTAACTATAAACATATATGTACTTAAGAATTAGTTTGTATAATATTATATACAAGTCTAGATTAAACGTTCAATGAACGAATTCGGAAATGCACAAAGGACGTAGCGCACCAAGTGTCGAACAATTGCGTTAGAATTGTTAGCATAAGTCTAGAATTAAAAGTTCGAAGCGCATGATTAGAACTTGAACAAATAGATGTAACAAATAAAATGTGATAAAAGCTAAAATCATTATTAGTAATTCATTTATTTGCAACAATTAATTAAAAATTTATTGTTATTATTATTATTATTATTATTATTATTATTTTATTATTATATTATTATTACCAGTATTATTATTATTATTATTATTATCATTATTATTATTATTATTATTACTATTATTATTATTCTTTTTTCAGAAAACCGTCAAACAAGCCGGCCCAGGCCTGGACATAGTGATAAGTCCCTTCAGCGTCTGGTCGACCCTAACGATTGTGGCCGAAGGTGCCCTTCACGACACTTTTAACGAGCTCGCCAGGACGTTAAAACTACCTTTAAGTATAAATACTACGAGATCAGGATACAGAAGGATTTCGCAGGTGATGCTTGTTAATACTTCTACTGTAGAGTTGGAAGCTGCTACTGCTATCTTCACTGATAACAGCAGCCCGGTAAGTCATTAAAAGATAGAAGATATTGTGAAAGAGATAGGTGTATGTATGTAAATTCTAAAAACCGCCACAGTATTCCCCTTTGGATTTTTTTTAGATTTATTCAATGTTTGTGGTTGGTGTAGTCTTTGATTTGTTGTGCTTCAAGGAGCCCTGTTGGGTTTTTGAGGTTGTGTATTTGATACTTGGATAGTACTCATCGAGACCTTTCATTTGATACCCCACATGCCTATATTTGAAGTAAAACTTTTTTACTTATAATTGTCCTCAAGTTGCGCAACCCATTGGTCGCCCATATATTATATCTTTTGTATCTTTTGAACGGTTTGTTCGATTGGAATGCAATATTCGGCAAATTTGTGTTAAATTACATGAGCTATAATATTGTCTAATAATGTGAAGCCGTACAGCATCTCGTTATATGTGTTTGTGTAACAATTCTGGTTTGTTGGGTTTGTTACCATAATGTTTGGATAGAGCTCGTCGAGACCTTTCATTTGATACCCCACATGCCTATATTTGAAGTAAAACTTTTTAACTCATCCGAGTTCGGCAACCCATTGGTTTACTTTATTTTTTACAGAACTCCCTTTCCAGTGATGAAATTACGGAATACCTATTTTTAGTATCTATTGTTACTTAATACTAATTTTATTCTGAAAAAAAACCCAGTTTGCTCGTTAGTAGAGTCCTCTTTTTCATTACTTACATTTTGATTGTCAGTAGAATTCTTTTTAGTAATCAAATAATAATTTTACAAAAATTATTTCATATTGTATTCTAAAATTCGAGTTTATATTTGTATCATCAGTAGAGCCCTTGTATATTAACCTGGTATCAATTGTTATTAGAAAAGGACTCTACTGATGATCAAACCTAATTGAGATTATTAAAATAAAATTAGTGACAAATTTTATTATAAAAAGGACTCTACCGATAACTAATTTCGTAGATGTAAATACTTTTTTTTTAAAAAAAAAGGAACTCTACTGACAAGCAAACCAAATTTGGACATTTAGAACAAAATTAGTTATATTATACAGAAAATTAGAAATCCTTCATAAAAAACGATTCTACTGACGACCGAAATTCGATAAATATGCATGATTTGCTAATTTTTGAACTTTTATGTCAATTTTGGAAAATTTATCATTTTTGAGTAGTGGAAAAGGAACTCTACTGACTGGCATATCGAACGTGGAGGTTTGAAACTGTATTCATAGATTTTAACTAAAGGGACACTACTGACAAGCAAACAGTGAATTGTTATTTTGTTACAGAAAAAGAAATTCTACTGACGAGCAAACTAAGGGAGCAATTCTACTTCATAACATAGCGTTGTTATGGCAACGCTATCTTATACTTATTTCTTGTTAGTGAAACTGTGAAAATGTCTATCTATTTGCCGTGCGATCAGGCGCATTTTAGATATAAACAAGCAAGAGAGAATGTTATAACAAAATCATCGATGATGCATTCTTCCTTATATGTAAATTACGCCTGATCGCACGGCAAATAGACAGACATTTGATAGTTTCTCTAACAGGAAACAAGCATAAGATAGCGATGCCACTCTGAATGTAAAAATTGAAGTTAATAATTATTTTTTTCCAGATAAATTGCGACTACGAATGCCTCGTCGAATCCGTTTACAGAACAGACTTACGTTTCGTCAGCTTTCTAAATAATTTAATTTTATTTGATACCCCACATGCCTATATTTGAAGTAAAACTTTTTAACTCATCCGAGTTTGGCAACCCATTGCTTTACTTTATTTTTCACAGTACTTTCCCTATAGTGACAAAGTTACGGAATACCCATTTTTTATTAAATACATTTTTTTCTTGTACTCCTTAACGATCAGAGATCTGGAATATAAAAATTGGAGTTAATAATTATTTTTTGCAGATAAATCGCGACTACGAATGCCTCGTCGAATCCGTATACAGAACAGACTTACGTTCCGTCAGCTTTCTAAATAAAGCGAAAGCAGCCTACGACATTAATATGTTCATAAAAGAAAAGACGAGGAATAGGATTGACAGTAAGTACTAAAAAAACATAACCTAAGCGAAAATGTTTATCCATTTGCTGTGTGATCAGGCGTATTTTACATATAAACAAACCAAGAATGTTATGATAACAGAATCCTCGAACATGCCCCCGGACTTGTTTTTATGTAAAATACGCCTGATCGCACAGCAAATAGATAGACATTTCACAGTTTCACTACTTAAGTAAAATAAATTAGGGATGATTTTTAGGTTAATTTCCAATATCTCCTTCAATTTTCAACCGATTTTAACCAAATTTTTTTCTTTAGGTATTGTGGTTGAACAGGACCTCACAGATGCCAAAATGATTATAACAAACGCCGTATTTTTCAGGGGTCAGTGGACGACCCCTTTCAATAAAACTAACACGAAAGTCGAGAATTTTTATGATGAAACGGGGGCTGTCAAGGGTCAAGTTAATATGATGTACGACATAGGGTAAGTCTTAAAAAATCTTAATTTACTTTCTCTGTATTTGTTCTTTTCAATGAACATTTGCAAACATAAACGTAACATAAATTATTAGTCTATATTAAATAATAATTAATTACAAAGTTTAAACAAATTTTAATATATTTTTTTTAATAAACATATTTAAAAACTATTTTATTAGCTTTCTAATGATATATAATAATATATACACGTTTTTTAAATTTATTTTCAATTTGAATGTTTGAATCTCAACGGTCGTTACAAACGCGCGAACTTCACACTCAAAGTATTTTGTTCCAAATTTATGTGCAGTAATTTTGTTTCAACTCGGTTTGTTATTCAATTATAAAATTTAAACATTTTTTAAAATATTATTTTGTTCTGAGAGTTTTAAATTGTTATATACAGATTTTTAGATAATTTTATTATCTTTCTAATGATATATAATAATACATACATGCTAGAACAAATTATTAAAGAAATTGATCAAAGTATGAAAAAAATGCAACTACACAACTTCTGTATCATTATACAGAAATGACTATACAGTTTTAAAATCTAAACAATTTTTGAAATATAATTTTGTTCCAAATGTTATAAATTGTTATATACAGAGTTGTAGATAATTTTATAAGCTTTCTATTGATGTATTATAATATATACACACTAGAACAAATTATTTAAAAAATCGATCAAAATATAAAAAAATGTAACCAGCAGACATTTTCAGATAAAAGTCTGACTTCAGACATAAGTTAAAAATGACGTCAGTATTTAAAGTTTAAACATTTTTTTTACAATAATTTTGTTCCAAAAGTGACAAATTGTTATACACAGAGTTGTAGATAATTTTATAAGCTTTTTATTGATATATAATAATATATACACATAGAAACAAATTATTAAAGAAATCGATCAAAGTGTAGAAAATGTAACTATCACTTCAGACTTCAGACAAAATTAAATAACTAAATTACAAAGATAAATATAAAAAAGTGTCCTTTAATATTTGTTGCCGGTATTAATGAATATTTTCATACGTAACAAAATATTTTGTTAATAATACATATAAAACATACTAATTTTAGACAAATTTTAACAATATGTATTAAAATTATATGTAATAAATACTCTATAATGATTTTTGCATGAAAAACGCAAAAGTTCTAAATGTGAAACACGCTTTATGCACCTAAAGCTTGTAGCACGTTTAACCGGTCTCATATAAAACCACAAACGACTCGCATATACAAAAGTACAAGTGTGCATGCGGCTTTAGGCTAAAGCGTGCATCACACTATAAGAAAAAATATTTAGGTAATTAAAATAGCGAAATAAATATTTAATAATTTAATGATAATTTAGTAAATAATAATATCTTTCAACTTTTATTTCTAGGTACTATCCATACACAATGGTTCAAGGTTTAAATTCTCACATCATAGAAATACCTTACGGAAAAGAAAACAGGTTATCAATGTACGTCCTTTTGCCCATGAAGGGCGTTTTACTTCAAGATGTTCTGGGAAAAGTTAAAAGAATGTCAATTCACGATCTGACTTCTCTGATGAACCAAGCTATAGATGAATACGGTGACGAACTGGTGGAGTTGAGAATGCCTAGGTTCAAAATTTCGTCGGATTTGACGCTTAATATTATCTTGGAAGAGGTAAAAGATGGTTTCTGCTAAACTAGTAGAGATAGAGTTTTGGTTTTTATTGCGTTGGATTGGGGGTGAAAAAATGTGTTTTTAGAGTACCCACATGACTAGGGTCAGAGTGGAAAATTTGTTTTTTCGTTTGGTCGTCAGTAGAGTCCCTTTTTATCTAGTCATTATTGTAAATGAAAGGATTTTTTTATAATCCGGATATTTTTATTAGTTTGCCAATAAGCAATAATATCATCTTGGAAGAGGTGGGTAAAAATGGTAAAATATGGTTTCTGCTAAACGAAAAGAGATAGAGTTTTGGTTTTTATTGGGTTGGATTGGGAGGAGGAAAAGTTGTGTTTTTAGAGTACCCACAAGACTAGGGTCAAAGTGAAAAATCTGTTTTTTTTAGTTTGCTCGTCAGTAGAGTCCCTTTTTTCTCGTCAATATTGTGGAAACTTGTAAATTAAAGGTTTTTTTATAACCTTGATATTTTTAAATAGGCAATTGAAAAATCCATGGTTATTAAAATTGTAAACTTTTTTGTCTATTGCTTGGTAGTAGAATCCTTTTATTTTTAACTTCCCGTAGGGTAGTTATAGTAATGGGCCGAAAATCGAAAATGAAAATTTTTGCATTTCTCGACGTTTTGAAGGTTTCTGAACATTTTGGGCTGTTCATGACATACAATATTTTTGTAATTTTGGATTAAAAATTAATTAATTCAAAAAAAATTTTAATAAGAAAATGAACCAGGCTAAGCACAGTCTAAGCGCCACTCCGGTACAAATGCTTACCCGAGATAAAGATTCAGAGATAAATAAATTTTTGTCTTGTCATGAAACAAAAAGAACTCTACTGACCAGCAAATTCAGAAAAAAACATTTAGAAGAAAATTTAGAAAAAGAAACTCTACCGATGAGTAAAAAAAATTTTTTTAATACAAATGTTATACTAGAGAAAAAGGAATTCTACCAACAAACATAACATAATTATTTTTTTCATCAGAGAAAAGGGACTGTACTGATGAGCAAATTCGATAATTATTTCTGAAATGCCATTTAGGAAAAAGAACTCTACTAATAAGCAAATTGGGTTACTATATTTATTTTAATAACAATAATAATAACAAAACCGAAGTCTACTGATGAGCAAAATTTAAAAAACGTTTTGTTTTAATTAAAAAAAAATTGAATTGGGAACTAAAGAACTCTACTGACGAGCAAATTGTTTTGTTACTAAAATTTCGCTATATTAAAAAATAATGTACAGTAAAAGGACTCTACTGATAAGCAAATGTATTTTTCACTATATTAAGAAGATAATGTACAAGAAAGGACTCTACTGACGATCAAACTGTTAATAAAAGTGTTAAAAGAAAAGGGACTCTATTCACGCATAAATTAAATCACGTCATGTGGGTACTCTAAAAATACCAGTTTTTACCACAAACCTAATGGCACATAAATCAAAAGTCTAGCATTAAAAAGGACTCGACTGACAGGCTAGTTATAAAAAATGGTGTTTTTTGAGTACCCACATAACTGGGTTCGTAAAATTTCTCATAAACTAATGAAGATAGAGTTTTAGTTTTTATACCATTACGTTTGTGGTGAAAAGTGGTGTTTTTAGAGTACCCACATGACTAGGGTCAAAAGTTGTTTAGCGCCACTTAATGTTTCTCCTAAACTAATGAAGATAGAGTTTTAGTTTTTGTACCATTAGATTTGTGGTGAAAAAGTTGTGTTTTTAGAGTACCCACATGTCGGGGGTACAAATTACTGCAAATTAGTATTTTAGAAAGTATGCCCGAAGTATTCAAAATTAAATTCTGACATATGTAGAATTTAATATTGAATGTATGTTTGTTTGTATTTCCAGATGGGTATACTATCAGTCTTTGACCCCAACTATGCTGATCTTTCGAGGATTTCTAATAATAATCTGTATGTTTCAAGAATTATGCACAAGGCTGAGATTGAGGTCACTGAAGAAGGCACTGTAGCTTCTGCCGTAACAGGTGAATTTTTTTTAAAAAAATATTTATTTATTATTTATCTAGTATATAACATATTTTTCTGTATTATGGTCATTTTACCACGGGCGTCGCTTATAAAAAATTATAGGTATAAAAGAACTCTACAGACATCTTGACGACCTGTGTGTACGAGTGTCTTAGGCAACATCTAGTCTAGTTCAATTATTCATAATTCTAATTGGTTATTAGTTTTTTTTAGAAGTGCCTTGTAATTTTGAATCTTAACATTTTTGTTTTGCAAATTCTTGGGCGGTTAACTGGCTCGTCAGTAAAGTCCTTTTTCCTGCTTTAACTAAATGTGTTTGTCAGTTTTGCCTTTTTTTTAAAAGTAGTAAAACTAGTAAAGGTAGTTTTCTAAAACTAGTTCGCTAGTACAGTCTCTTTTATCATTCTAAGATACTTACAGTTTGCTTGTCGTTTATTTTTAAAGTAAATACATAAATTGAACTTATTTAAAAATTTGCGTGTCAGTAGAGTTCTTTTTATTTTATTTTGGTGTTTAAATTTAGCAAGCTAGTTGTCAGTCGAGTTCTCTTTGCTATATAATAATGATATTTGAATTTGCTTGTCAGTAGAGTCTCTTTTTCTTCTATTTTTAAATTTGTTTGTTTTACATAGTTGAGATGTGATGTTTATCGTTGCTCGTCAGTAGAGTTTTTTTTTAGTTTCATGATCTTCACAGTTTGCTCGTCAGTAAAGTCCTTTGTTCTTAGTATTGTTTCATTTGCTCGTCAATAGAGTCCCTTTTTAGATTTATGTTCTTTATTTTTGTATATTTTTTATTTGTTCGTCACTAGAGTCCCATTTACCTTTATACAATATTTACAGATTGCGTGCCAGTAGAGTTCCTTTTGTCATAATGATTTTCACAGTTTGGTGGTCAGTAGAGTTTCTATTAATTTTATTTATCATTGACAGTTTGCTCGTCAGTAAAGTCATTTTTCAATCTTCTGATTTTTAGTTTGCTCGACAGTAGAGTCTCTTTTTATTTCCATAATTTTTACACTTTGCTCGTCAGTAGAGTTCTTTTTTATTTCATTATTGTTAGCAGAGTCAGTACAGTTTGCTTCTCAGTAGAGTTCCTTTTCAGTTTTATGATTTTGATTGTTGATTTTATTTTATTATCAGTAAAGTTGTTGGCCAGTAGAGTCCCTTTTCTCTTGGTGTGATATTTACGGTTTGCTCGTCAGTAGAGTTCTTTCTATTCATATAATATTAAAAGTTTGCTTGTCAGTAAAACCATTTTTAATTATGATGATTTTTAAGTTGCTCCTTTTTTAGTTACACGATTTTTACATTTTGCTTGTCAGTAGAGTTCATTTTTGGTTTATATAATTTCTACAATTTGCTCGTCAGTAGAGCCCTTTTTAAGTTTTATGATATTTACAGTTAGCTTGTCAGTAGAGTCCTTTTTTACTTTTATAATAGTAACAGTTTGCTCATCAGTAGAGTCTTCTGTTTATTTCAGTAGAGTATCAGTAGAGTTTTTTTGACTTCTATAATTTTTACAATTTGTTTCTCAGTAGAGTTCTTTTCCATTTTTACGTAGAATGAATCTTTTCTTGGTTTTATCATTTTAGAGTCCTTTCTATTCATGTAATATTGACAGTTTGCTCGTCAGTAGAGTTCCAAAGTAATTTACTTGACTATATTCTACAATTTTACAAATAATCTAATAATAATATTTACAGTATTAATCCACCAGTATCTATTTAATTATATTTAATTCTATTTTTCAGCTGGTACAATCGTGAACAAAATAGCACCGCCCAGTTTCCATGCCAACCGGCCCTTCGCCTACTTCATAGTCGAGAAAACAACCAAGGTGATTGTCTTCACTGGCAAGTTCTCGGTGCCGCCGCCAGAGAGATTCTAAACTACAGACCAATTACAACTGGCCAATGGCCATAACTGGCCATTGGTCATTGGCCATTATGCAATAGGTAATAGTAATAGGTAAACTAATTAATATAATAGTTAATAATAATGATAATGATAAATGATAAATAGACGTTTTATACGAATCGTTTTATAGAAAAAATTGAAAATATAGAGAGAAATTTAAAAGGATTTTTTTATTTAATTTCATCGATTTCATCAAAAATTCACATTTGTCATCAGTAGAGTTCCATTTATTCTTAAGCGTCATTAGAATAATTTTTTCTCATACCGGTGGATAGAAAAGTTCTTTTGTTTTAAGATGCTCGTCAGTAGAGTTCATTTCTTATTTGCTAGGTTTCTACTTCATTTACCTATTTGTAAAGTCATTACTTTGCTTTTCAGTAGAGTTCTCATTTTTTCTTTTTTCTTGTGCTCGTCAGTCAGTCATATTAATATACTTATTTTTATTTTTTATCTAAAATTCATTTTGTTCGTCAGTAGAGTTCTTTTTCAACTGAGTATCAGTTGAATCCAATTACATCAGTTGAATATGAAAGTGCAAACATCAGTTTGCTCGTTAGTAGAGTCCTTTTTATTATTCTAACTATCAAGATAAAAATGTTGCTTGTCAGTAGAGTCCTCTTTTTATTTGTTCGGTTTCTAGAATTCAGTTTTTTATTCAGTAGAGTTCTGTAGAGTCTGTTTTTTGACTTCTTCTAAGAATTACTTGAATTGCGCGACAGTAGAGTCCTTTTTTCATCTCATATTTTAGTTTGCTCATTAGTAGAGTCCTTTTTATCCTTCTCACGATCAAGATATCTTGTTTGCTCGTCAGTAGAGTTTTTTTATCCTTCTCATTATTAGGATATTTTGTTTGCTGGCCAGTAGAGTCCTCTTTTTTATTTCATATCTAAAATTTATTTTGCTTGTCAGTAGAGTCCTTTTTTATCTCAATATCTAAAATTCAGTTGTCTAGACAGTAGAGTTCTTTCTGTCATTATCATGTTCATTTGATACGTTTGCTGGTAGAGTACTTTCTTTAATTTTCCTAAGTATTTAGTTTGCTCGTCAGTAGAGTCCTTTTTATCCTTCTCACAATCACCTTGTCCATTAGTAGAGTCCTCTTTTTTATCTCAGATCTAAAATTCTTTTTGCCCATCAGTCGAGTTTTTTTCCATCTCAGTATCGATAATTCAGTTTGCTCGTCAGTATAGTTCTTTTTCTTTTTCAAGTCGAAGTTGTAGTTTGCTTGTCAGTAGAGTCCATTTGAGAGAGATTCAATTTTTTTGTCAGTAGAGTCTTTTGTATAATCTTATTTTGAATATATAAAAGTTTGTTGTTCAACTTTTCTCGGCAGTAGAGCCCTTTTTTCCTTTCAAGTCGAGGATGTAGTTTGCTTGTCAGTGGAGTCCCATGTTTTTCTCATGTCTAGATTTCAGTTTGCTCGTCGGTAGAGTCCTCTCTATATATTTTCTTATGCTATTACTCAATTTGCTTAAAAACTGAAAGTGAATGAACGAAAATGAATGAAAAAAGAACTCTACTTACGTGCAAACTAATAATTATGCCATAAAAAAGATCCTGAAATACGTTTCGACTTCAACCCTTTGCCATCATTAGTTAAGTTTTATCAAAATTTATTGAAAATAAAATAAAAGGAAGCAAAATGAAGTAGTTAAAAATAATGTAAAAAGGTTAGAGAAAAATTAAAAATAAAGAACTCTACTGACGAGCAAATTCATATTCACAAAAATATTGGTAAAATATTTTGTAAATATAAATAAAACAATAATTTCAACGTTTAATACCAAACGCAAAATTATATATACCTGACGTTTCGACTCCTCACCTGTGCCATCATAAATAAATAAATATTTACTTATTAATATAAATAAAACAAAAACACAGTTGTACAGTTTTTAAAATTTATTAAACCAGACTCAAAAAAGATAAATATACAATAATTTATTTTTGTCAATTACAAATATACACACGTACATGTATATATATATATATATATATATATAAATGTATGTTGTAATATATAATTTAATATAATATAATATAATATAATATAATATATATAAAGAGTTGCTTCTTATAACACACACTTACTTTATAATAAATCTTCAGCTAATTTTTTTTTATATATTTATATATTTATAACAAAATTGACCGGAGCGGAATCGGAGGAGGACCGGAGTCGATGCCCGGAAAATTATATATACATATATATATATGTATATATTATATATATGTATATGTATATATATATATATATATATATATATATGTATATACGTTCGTATATATATATATTTTAAGTAAAAGTTGACCAAACTAACCTCAGAATGGACTCTACTGCAAAATTAAACAAATTCGACAAAAATAGTTTCGTTCAAAAGAAAACTCTACTGACAAGCAAATTAGAACTTGGTCTTGAAGAAAATTACTAGTAAAAAAATTTACAAATTCATTGTAGAAATGGTGAAAAGGACTCTACTGACGAACAAATTAAACTTGACTCAAACTGAAGGTTTTTTGACAAGACTAATAATATAAAAATTTAACAAAAAAGGGACTCTACTGACGAGAAAATTGATTTTAGATACTAAAAAATAATTATTAAAAAAAGGACTCTACTGATAGTAAATATCTAGAAAAACAAAAAAGAATATTAATACAAAAATTGTATAAAAAAGGGACTCTACTGACGAGAAAACTGATTTTAGATACGAAAAAATGATTAATAATAAATGAACTCTACTGACGAGCAAATTGAACTAAATGTAAATATCTCAAAAATAATAAAATAAATAAATAAAAGAGAATATTAATACAAAAATTTTATATAAAAAGGGACTCTACTGATGAGAAAACTCAATTTAGATATGAAAAAATAATTATTAAAAAATGGACTCTACTGACGAGCAAATTAAACAAGAAGTAAATATCTAAAAAAATAAAAAAATAATATTAATACAAAAATTGTATAAAAAAGGGACTCTACTGACGAGAAAACTGAATTTAGATACACAAAATAATTATTAACAAAAGAACTCTACTGACGAGCAAAATTAATCTCGAACTAAAAATCTGACTTAAAAAAGTTAAAACAAAAGATTCTCATACTAAACAAAAAAGGACTCTACTGACGAGCAAATTGAACTTGTCAAAATCATCGGAAAATTATTAACGAAAAAGGACTCTACTGACGAACAAATTTAACTTGACACAATTATTAGTAGAAATTATCAAAAAGAACTCTACTGAGGAGCAAATTAATTTTTTCAATAAAAATCTAACAGAAAGCCCTGAGATGACAAAATTATATTAAAAGGGACTCTACTGACGAGCAAATATATTCAAAAAAGAAAGTATAAAAAAGGAACCCTACTGACGAGAAAACTAAATTTAGACACAAATAATGATTTTCAATAAAGGAACTATACTGACGATCAAATTAAACTTTCTAATAAAAATCTAACAAAAAATCCTGACATTATAAAAGGGACTCTAAGACGAGCAAATATAAATTATATAATTTTTTTTTGAAATTATAAATCTGCGCAAATTAGCAAATCAGATTTTCTAGCCAAAAAAACAACATCTCTTCACATCATATTAAAAAAAATCTTTTAATTTAAAATCTTGCACATTGCACTAAAATTTTACGGTTCGTTGCCACAGCAAAGCGCGGCCGGGCCGGCTAGTATATACATACATACATATAATATAATATATATATATATATATATATATATATATATCCTTCTCCGATTCCTCTCGAGTACAAATCAACATAAAAAAAATCACATGGACTTTCAAAAAAGATGTTTGGACACCCCTGCTATAAATGCATCTTATCTTATCATCTTATCAATCATCTTATCTTATCAATCATCTTATCATCGACTACAATTTGAAAATATACTTCTATTAACATCTTTATTGAAATATCTAAAAACTATTTTGAAAAAGTTTTCCTCATGTGGCATGCATTTGTTTTTATTTAATATTATTATAATTATAATACATTAATGTAATTAATTATTATTAATTTATTAATTTAATAATTAATAAATTTATTAATTAATAAATTAATAAATAATTTTGTTTATTTGTTTATTTATATTTATTAAAATCTATCAATTAGTATTAATAAGGGGGCTGACAGACATTGATATTATTAGTAGTTTTTATTTATTTTTGACGGCACAATTAGATTCGAAGAAAAATTAGACGGGGGGCGAGTAAGGTTATATTTATTTATTATTATTAGTTAAATTCAATAAAATATCGGTTGTTTAATAATTTAAAGTTTGTTTTCGGGTTTTTTGAGCGTGTGTATATATCATAGTAGTTTTTTTTGCGTTTTGACGTATATATACGTCATAAATATGGTATGGCGTATATATACGTCATGTCATAATGACACGAATTTTTTTTATTTATGTTATTAATTTTTTAATTTGTTAGAATTTGAAATTTGCAAATGAAAATTTACGTATTTGTTAGGAATTCGTGAGATTTAATTTGCGTGTTAGACGTATATATTCGTCATGTATATGGCAGGACGTATACACTTGTCACTTTAGAAGGATGTTTATTGTCCAAATACATAAAGTGTATTTTGGTTGATAAATGACGCCAAGAATATTTCTTTTTAAATCTGCTGTTTCTTATGTCGCTATTGTATTTGACGTATATATGCGTCACTGCAAAAGAATATTTCTGTCCAAATTTGTGAAGTGGATTTAGGTTTATAAACAACACCAAGAATTTTTATTATGATATTTATTTTCAAATCTGTTTTTTGAGTTAGTAGCTATTTGTAGGTTTTGTAGATGACGTATAAATCCGTCACGAATTTTTGTAAAAATACGACTGATTTTGTATGACTTATTACTATGTAATATCTGTCACCGATTTAATTGAAATGGATGTTTTTTGAAAATGGAGATTTTGTGGAAATTCATATTATTTTTATCATTTGTAGCTAAGTTCTAGATGACGTTTATATTTGTCATTAATTTTGCTGAAATTGCTGGTATTTTTATTATCTTTG